AGCCTGATGACCTAGTCAATCCTGGAACTACATACAGGTGGAGGGAGAGAACACATTTACTCATCAAATTCTCTCTCTCTCTCTCTCTCTCTCTCTCTCTCTCTCTCTCTCTCTCTCACACACACACACACACACACACACACACGAGCATATACTCACACATACACACACATGTACACACACGCACACACACTCTTGTATGCACATATATGCACACACTCACATACATACATACGCACATGCACACACATACACACACACACACACACACACACACACACACACACACATACTTAAAGACAAGGTAGGTGGCTCCTGAGGAATAACATCTGAGGTTGACCTGTAGCTTCCATACACACGTGTGCACACCTGCATGTGTACTTATTGTGTACCCATGTGTGCACACATGTATAAATTTTCCCCATTTTGCCACATAGTATATGGATTTTTTTGTTTCTATGTTTGTTTGTTTGTATTTTGTGACAGGGTCTTTCTAATTGAACTCATGATCCTTCTGCCTCAGTCTTACAAGTCCTTAGAATACAGTCATGTGCTAATATGCTTTTTGAAATTAATATTTTAATGGCTATGTGTCATTCTATCTTATAGGCTTAAACATAATATATTTATCTCCCAAGGGCAGACATTTAGGTTGCTTCCTGTAAAATATTATCAGTAAAATATTCATCCATATCTCTAGGATAAATCTCATCTTTAAGATAAATACTAAGACAGGGGATAATAGCTAAGTTGCTGAGTTGCTTCGTGTCTGTGATGTTCACTGGAATCAATAAGTTAGAACAGCTCAGCTGATAACCCACAGACGCACAGAGGCATTAAACTTCCTGTGGGTTTTAGAAGATAGGATAAAAAAAGAAATCTCATTTCTTCCACTTCCCTTTGCTTCAGCAAATACACAAATACAGGTTTGAGATTTTTTTTATTATACTTATGAACTTCCATTAAAAATCCAAGAATAAAACAAACAGTACTGATAAAACACAACTTTCTGCTTCTACCCAAAGGTCATGCTTTAGGCTCTCCTGAGCTCTCGCAGAGCTGCCCCTCGGATGTGACTTCTGCAGCTCCCACTTTTGCTCTCTGTTGTAGCTATTGATTCGCCTCTGCATACACACCCTGGGCTGCACAGACCGTGATGGCAGGGCTGCTTTCCATCTCCACAGCCACAGTGATTAGCATGGCACCCTAGGACCTCACTGACTTGAACATCGCATGGCTACATGAATGTAAGCATGAATGTGGAGTCAGACATATGCTAATGACGAGCCAACAAATGGTAGCAAGGCGACATGAACATGGATCATATTACCCATCTCTGAGAGCTGAAAGGGAGTACCTTCCTGCCTCTAGGTAATTAAACTTTACATCTCCGTAAGTAGTTTATCTCCAAATTTAAGTGCTTTATGAAATAGATATTCATAACTTGGAGTAAGCAGCTGTGGTTTGGGAGTAGTTTCTGTCCTGTAAGGGATTCTCTGCTGAAAGGTACTTTCCAACCTCAGTTGTTAAAAGGATGGAGATAGAGCCTTTGCAATGTAGTCAAATTAGGTGGAGGCTTCCTGATTGAATATTTGTGGTCTTAAAAAAAGTGAAAAGGGATTAATGTATCTTGTTAGGCTGTGTTCAGTTGGTAGCACTAGGATGCCTGCGTTTTTCTGAAGGGAAACAGAGGAATAGTAAATTTGGTGGAGAGGAGAGGTGTGTTTGGGGGACTGGGAGGAGGCTGTAGTTGGGATGTATTGTATGAGAAAAGAAAAAAAATGTCGGGGGGGAAACCAGTTCAAAGTCAGCCTAGGTACATGGTGAGTTTGAGGTCAGTTTCTTAGTTAGCTTTCTGTTGCTCTGATAGAACACCATGGCCAAAGCAACTTATGAAAGAAAGCATTTTGTATGAAGCTTATGGTTTCAGAGGGTTAGAGTCCATGACTGTCATGGTGGGAAGCATGACAGCAGGCATGGTACTGGAGAGGCAGCTGTGAGCTCAGATCTTGAGACATAGCTGTGAGGCAGAAGGAGCTAACTGAAATGTTGTGGGCTCTTGAAACCTCAAAGTCCATGCCCAGTGACATACCTTCTCCAGCGAAGCCCCACCTTCCCAAACAGTTCCTCTGTCTAGGGGTGAAGTATACAAATATATGAGGCTATGCGGGTGTGTTCTCATTCAAGCCACTGTAGTCTTCTCTTAGGCCCCATAGGCTTGTAGCCACATCACAATGTAAAATACATTTAATCCAACTTCAAAGGTCTCTATAGTCTTTTCTAGTTTTAACACTTTCAGAATTCAAAGTCTCTTCTGAGACTCAAGATGATCTCTTAACTGTAACTCCTGTAAAATGAAACAAAAACAAATAACATACAGTGGCACAGCAGAATGTATATTACCATCCCAAACTGGGGCACACAGGGGAAATACTGGACAAAACCCAGCAAGGCAAACCCTACACCCTGTAGCTCCACGTCTGAAGTCAGTGGGTTTAGATGGCTCTGCCCTTCCAGCTTTGTTAACAGCAACACACTTTCCTTTCCTGGATGGGTTTCATTCCTGCCTGCAGCTCTCCTTGGAAGATGTCTTCTGGCTGGTATTCCTAACATCTTGGAGTTTCCAGCACAAGGCAGGCTTGCTTCATTTTCACGGCTTTATGAAAATAAAGGCTTTTCCTGGCCTTCATACACGAACTCCCCTGCCACATGCCTGGCCTCAGTGGCTCTCATTAGTCAGAGAGGAAGATCATCTAATCCCTTTACTTACTTATCCTTAAGGACTCAGAAGCCAGAACCACATTGAACACACTTTAAAGTTCAACTGGCCTCTTGGGGTAGAGCCCCCAGCCCACTGATTGAATCATATTTGCTTAAGCTTATCATTGCTTTTTAGGGACTAAAAATTCCTCAGGCCTTTCCTTTTTACTAGGTGGGGTCTTGCCCTGAGGGTTCCCACCCTGTACTCCACTTCAAAGCAGGCCTTTCTTTAATCTTTTCCTCTCTTTCAGCACAGGCCTTGGCTTAAACATTAAATATCCTGGTGCATTTCTTTTTTTTTTTTTTATCTTCAAACTGTACTCCCCACTTTGCTTTTTTTGTTGCTGTTGTATACTTGCCTAAGTGTGATTAATATCTTATAATATAGGTGATATATATGCTAGATAGGTAGATAGATAGATAGATAGATAGATAGATAGTATATGTATCATAGAGTCAATATTAAGCTGTCTTGAAATCTCCTCCACCAAAGAATTTAGCCTCAGGTGGATTCTTATAAGAACAACAACAACAAAAAACAAAACAAAACAAAACAAAAAAAAACCAAAACAAACCATACACATTCTTTACCAGAATCCACAAGAATGTTCTCTAGCCCAGTTGCTAACATTGTTCCCCTCTGGAACCTCCTGAGCCAGGCCTCCATAGTTTACACTGTTCTCAGCTCTACTATCTTCCCAAATCCTACTGGGGTGGCCCACTAAGCAATGTTTAAACTGCTCCAGTACCTTCCTTTCTAGTCCAAAAATCTCCAAGTCTTCAATATTTGTTTAAAAATCACCATGGTCAGACCTGCGTGGCAATAGCCTACCCATTTCCTGGGACCAAAGTCTGTCTTAGCTACTTTTCTATTATGACAAAACACCGTGACCAAGGCTATTTATAAAAGAAAGCACTTAATTTGGGACTTACAGTTTCAGAGAGTGAGTCCATGACCTCAGTGGTGGAGAACACATCAGCAGGCAGGCAGGTGTGGTGCTGGAGCAGTAACTGAGAGATGAATTCTTGAGACACAACCCTGAGGCAGAGAGTTAGCTGGGAAGGGTGTGAACTTTTGAAACCTCAAAGTCCCAGTGAAAAGCCTCCTACAAGGCTGCGCTTTCTAGTTCTTTCCAAACAGTTCACAAAAGGGGACCAAATATTCAAATATATGAACCTAAGGGGCCCATTCTCATACTATGGAAATAAAGGAAAATAAAGGTAAAGTCATTATCACCATGTCCCTCCGGAGCAAGAAACAAATTCCACAGTATCTTGGGACAGAGCCTGGGAAGCCTATAGGGAGTAAAAAAGTCCTTCTCAGTACTGTTGGGAATGTTCATTGGTGCAAACATTTCCAAAACTATCCAAGGCAGAGGTTCTCAAACTTCATAATGCTGTGACCCTTTAATACAGTTACTCATGTTTTGGTGACTCCCAGCCATAAAATTACTTTCATAATTTTGCTGCTATTATGAATCATAATGTAAATATCTGATATGCAGGATATCTCATATGTAACCCCTGTGAAAAAGGTTGTTCAGCCCCCAAAGGGATCACAACCCACAGGCTGAGAACCACTGATCTACAGGTGGCAAGAAGCCTTGCAACATATAAGGACCCAGACTATACTCTGCAGCAACCTTGCTTTTAGTTCGTTCTGAGAGTAGCAGACTTAGCCTCGTGTGTCAGCTTTTTCTTGCACAGTGACTGGGGAAAGGTACATGTGAAGAATCAATGCTGGGGAAACAGGCCCAGGTTTAGTGGAAACACTAAGGAGAACAGTGAATGCAAACTCTTTTGTTTGTGTGTTTTTGAGATGATCTCACTATTAGTTCTGGCTGGCCTAGAACTCAGTCCATAGATCACTGGCTGGTCTTGAACAGATACCTAGCTTCGCTGCCTCCCCAGTGCTGGGAATAAAGGTTTGTAACACCACCCCTGTTAAACAAAGCTTATTATTGTTTTAAAAAAGTAATTAATTTCATGGATGTGGATATTTTGTCTGCTTGGATGTCTGTGCACTATGGGGGTGCCTGGTACCTTTGGAGACCAGAAGAGGGCATTGGATCTCCTGGGACTAGAGTCACACTGTTGTCTTCATCTGCCATGCAGGTGGTGGCAGTTAAACCCCAATCCTCTAGAAGAGTCAGGTGAGCTTAACTTCTGAGTCATCTCTCCAGCCCCAACAAAGATTATTTTTAAGCAGTACTTCTTTAAAGAATTGCATAACCAGTGAATAAATGTTTAAGATACTATTTTATTTTTTTAAGCTAAAATGCACTGTAGAGAAATAATTTGAAGTAAGAGACACCATACGAAAGTACATTGCAACAGCAGCTATAATTGTCTCATTCTTTAAAACTATTTTCAGTGCCAAATATTCTGATTTCTTATACACTATACAATTTAATATTCTTATTTATTTACATCTCAAGCACTGCCTCCCTTCCAGGTCCCCCCACCAACAACTGAGACCCTTCTTCTGTCTCTCCTCCACTTCTCCTCTGAGAGGGTGGGATCCCACTGGGTATCCCCCCACCCTGGTACATCAAGTCTTTGCCAGATTAGGTGCATCTTCTCCTGAGGCCAGGCAAGGCAGTCCTGTTGGGAAACAGATATCACAGTCAGGCTACAGCTTTAGGGAGAGCATCTGCTCCAATTGTTGGGGGACCCATGTGGAGATGGAGCTGCCCATCTTCTACATATGTGTCCAGGGTCTTATTCCAGACTGTGTGGGTCCTTTGGTTGGTTGTTCATTCTCTGAAATCTCCCAAAGGTCCAGGTTAGTTGATTCTGTTGGTCTTCCTGTGGAGTTCCCATCTCCATCAGGGCCTTTAATCCTTCCTCCAACTCTTCCATAAGAGTCCCCGACCTCCATACAATGTTTGGCTGTGGGTGTGTTCATTTGTTCTAGCTACTGGATAGCTATTCTCAGAGGACAATAAGCATAACAGTATCTTTAATAATGTCAGGGATTGGTGCTTGCCCATGGAATGTGTTTCAAATTGGGCTGGTTATTGGTTGGTCATTCCTTCAGTCTCTGCTCCATTTTTGTCTCTGCATTCCTTTTAGACAGGACATATTTTGGATTGAAAGTTTTGTGGGTGCCTTGATGTCCTTACTCCTCTACTGGGGGTCCTGCCTGGCTACAGGAGGTGGCCTCTCCAGGTTCCATGTCTCCACTGGTAGGCATCTTGGTTAAGGTCACCCACATTGACTCCTAGGAGCCCATCCCATCTCAGATCTCTGGGACTTCTTAAAGATTCTCCACATCCCCCAACTGCCACCTCTTGCTGCTACAGATTCCATTCATTCTCCTGGCCTTCTGGCTCTCTCTCTTCTCTCTTCCCACACCTGATCCTGCCTTCCTATGTCCCTCCACTTCCCTTCTCCCATGCAGGTCCCTTCCTCAATCTGCCTCCTATGACTATTTTGTTCCCCCTTCTAAGTGTGATTCAACATTCTCGCTTGGGCCTTCCTTCTTGTTTAATTTCTTTGGGTCTGTGGGGTGTGTCATGAGTATTCTGTGCTTTATGACTAATGTCCCCTTATCAGTGACTACATACCATGCATGTCCCTTTGGGTCTGGGTTACCTCACTCAGGATGATAGTCTCAAGTTCCATCCATTTGCCTGCCAAATTCATGATGTCTTGTTTTTAATAGCTGCATAGTATTCCACTGTGTGAACAGACCACATTTTCTGTGTCCATTCTTCAGTTGAGTGACATCTGGGTTTTTCCAGTTTCTGGCTATTACAGACAAAGCTGCTATGAACATAGTCGAGCACGTGTCCTTGGGGTTTGGTAGAATATCTTTTGGGTATATGCCACAAGTTATATAGCTTGGTCTTTAGGTAGAAGTGTTTCCAGTTTTCTGAGAAACTGCAGATTGATTTCCAGAGTGGTTTTACAAATTTGCACTCCCACCAGCAGTGGAGGAGTGTTCCCCTGTCTCCACATCCTTGCCAACATGTGCTGTTGCTTGAGTTTTTAATATTCTAATATATATTTAATATACTCAGACCTCAGATTGTAAGCATCCTAACAAATGAATACAAACATGATTCACTAACTCAATTCCAATTTTAGTTTGGAAAACTATAACCAAAACCTATTAAGAGTGACATAATACAAGCATCTTAGCATACTGTTTAGAACTGTGTGAAGATGGATCTTTCTGTCATTTGAGGGGTCCTCCTATGGTTTATCTTTGCTATTGTATTGCTCATATGCTGAGAAGGCTCCGCTGACTTCATGATAGGCTTCACATTGGCAGTTCAGGACTGAGCAAGTCCAGACTTCAGAAGCTGTCCAGCCACCCGGCCTGAGGCAAGGACAATGAGTCAGCAGGAGTTTCCAGACTTCCTCAGCTACTTCCTTGGCAACAGTTTCCAGATCCCCCAGCAACAGTTTCCAGCCCCCACAGCCTGGTAATGGAATGTCCCTAGAGACAGAGTAAGATAAAGTTTACCTACTCCAGAATCCCCTAATTTGCTTTAAATCAGGTCTGGGAGCTCACTTGATTGTCTATCTTGGTAGTGAGAGCCCCCAGCATGCTGGACTTCTGTAGAATAAAACACTCTATGTTTACATAATTATTTGTGTCCAGGATATCATTCTTTGGTGAATTATGGACCCTTATATTTGGGGGCTCATCCTGGGATATGCTGGAGACCCCACCTCCACCCTGACCCAAATAGTGGAGTAATTCTGGGTACCTGGTTGTCTTGCATCTTGTCTGTCTCTGTGTTTCTGTTTTGGATTTAATCTGGAGGCTGAGAGGAACAAAGCAGATGCATGCTCCCAACCCCCTACCAGAAGCTGGAGAATTTGCTAGTTTTCATGTGGATTCTGAACTGGCTGTGGGTCTATAGGCATCCCATGCACAGGGAGGAAGACCATCTGAGAAAGGCTTTTGGTTTTGTTTTCCCCAGAATGTCTTTCTGTGTCCATCTGTGTGTATTCTGTCTGTGCTTTCTGTCCTCTCATACAAATTTTTCTTTGATTTGTAGGATGGGACAGGCACAAAGCGCCAGTGGGCTTGTCCTGAACTATTTTAAGAACTTTTGCCAAGTTGCAGAAGACTAGGGTCTGGTTGTTCATCCCAGCAAACTAACCATCTTTTGCAGGAATGAATGGCCCACCTATAAAGTAGGATAGCCTGAGGAGGAGACTTTCATTTACAGGGTGAAGGTTTAGTTTATGAGGCCTGGGGCCACCCAGACCAAATGCCATATATAACCATGGCAATACCTGGTTGAAAAGAATACGTGGTTGAAAAGCCCCTGTTTGAACGAGACCTTTTTTGTTACAGGCCTCGGCACTCCCCACCTTTCTTCCTCAAAAGGAGGTTCAGTCTCAGCCCCTTCCTTGCCTTGCTCCCCGTTTCTGCTCCCCAAGAGGATCTCTGTTCCCCTTTTTTGTTCCTGCGCCTGCCGATGCTGACTCTGCTCAGCCAGCACAGGCGGAGGGAGGAGCAGCCCGCTCCCAGACTCTTCTGATTCCACTTGGAGTCCACCTCACACCCAGAGGGCCAGATCTTCTATAGCTTTACCCCTCTGGACTACAGGACCTCCGGATGCTCAGAGAAGGCGGTTCATGACGTATGTATCATTTGGATCCTCAGACTGTGTGTCAGACTTAGGGTTGGTGACACTTATTTGTCCATAGCATCTCTGGAGCAACCTGTCAGTCAAGTTTTTATTTGAGTAAGTGATTATTTGGTTACTTTTGTTTCTTTGCTCTTGGAAGTCATTATATGTTTCCCTAGCAATGCAAACTCAGTCTTCCAAGGTTGTACATAGGGATAAATCGTTTTCCTGCCCACATTTTATGCTGTGCCGAGAATCTTCTAGAGGTTACTATATCAAACTTTTTTCAACTAAGGATTAAAATGCCACTTTTGACTCAGCTCCTCACCCCATGTCACACAACTTCAAAATCCTTTTGTTTGTTCATTTGTATTTATCTTTAAACAGTTAAGCCAATTTAAACCAGTATCTGCCCACTTCCTTCTCCTGAACAGAGGCAAAGTTCACTGAATCATTGCTGTGTGTGCTTTATTGCCATAGTTCTGTGCAGAGTCATCAAGTTGTAAAAGTAACTTTTATTGTTGTCTGGAGGCTTACTTCCTCCATCTGCTAACCTAATCTTAGAAGCCTCTGTATAATCTAATCTAAGCCTAGAATGTTTTCGGCCTCTGAGACTTACTGCTAAATAAGCTCACCCCTTCCTAGTTCTTTCTGATTTGGCTAATTGATTCAACGCAGCTGATCTGGTTCAAACTCCTCTTCAAGCCGATTGATTCAGTCTGGCTTTTCTCAGCTTTTCCTGAATTGTTCTGGTTGGCCTCACACTCATTTTGGCAATATGTTCTAATCTGGCTTCTTCTCTGGCTTGTCTATCTTTACCTATGTCTAGTTTGTGCGCTCTCTCTCTCTCTCTCTCTCTCTCTCTGTCTCTGTCTCTGTCTCTCTCTCTCTCTCTCTCTCTCTCTGTGTGTGTGTGTCTCTCTCTCTCTGTCTCTCTCTCTCTGTGTCTCTCTCTCTCTGTGTGTGTCTCTCTCTCTGTCTCTCTCTCTCTCTCTCTGTGTCTCTCCCCCCCCCTCTCTCTCTCTCTCTCTGTGTGTCTCTCTCTGTCTCTC